CCCCTTTTTCAGAGAGTAACGCCAGACATCTAACACGCATCGGCCGCGAACCAAAAACAACATGCATGCATGGAAACACCGTTGGAGGGAGGTGAATGGTTTCGCGAATACTCCTGCTGTTGCCAACAAAACTTTCGCGAATACCACCACTGCTGGTGCCAGCAAAACGAACCCTGACTCCAACCCGTGTTGCAAAAGGTGCCTAGAACTATCCATAATCCTCAACATATCAGGTGGCGGGTGGATCGCTGGTACACGTTTGCATCAAATTCAAGCCGTGGCAACTATTTGCTACATTCCACATGATGGTCGGGCGTGCCATCACACGACCAGCACAACACAACATAAGTCTTCGGTACGTGTCACGAATTGATGTAGCCACATTAGATACACACCTGAACCAAGGCTCATGTAGTAGACCATGTCCTTTCACTTGTGAGGCATCTGCAGCGGCCCGTCCATGGTGCTCAGGGCGTACTCGATGAGCTTAACAAAACCACGATNGTGTCACGAATTGATGTAGCCACATTAGATACACACCTGAACCAAGGCTCATGTAGTAGACCATGTCCTTTCACTTGTGAGGCATCTGCAGCGGCCCGTCCATGGTGCTCAGGGCGTACTCGATGAGCTTAACAAAACCACGATCCGCGATCTCTTGCATGCACTTTGACGCTGCCAGGTTTCACTGTGCTGCAGACATCTTGTCTTCCTCCTTGACTGCTAGAGCAGAGTGGACGAGTGGTATCGGCTGAAGCATCTTGAGGGCAGGCTGGGTCATGGTCTTGTTGCCGTAGGTGCCGCAGAACTTCCGTAAGGCGAACATGACGTCCTCCGAGAGATCGATGAGAAGCATGGGTGCCTTCTGTGACTTCGAGAAATCGACTGCCATCGTGATTTGCCGGATGCTGCTGTGTCGAACTCGGAGACCACCGGGGTGTGTGCGTGGCGTGTGTGTGGTGTGGCGTGTGTCTGGCGTGTGTATGTGTGTGGGCGTGGAAAGTGATAACTACAGTTGTGTGCGCCAGCTGGTGTGCGCGTGTTGCACTATGGAAGATGACAATATATAGAGCGCTCTATATATTGTCATCTTCCATAGGTGTTGCTCGTGAGACAGCGTGAGAGAGAAGGGGGCCCCGTGCCGCGTGTGTTATGAAAACGAACCAAAACGCCTCCGAAACTCACAGTCCCGCCGAAGTTTTTTTTCTCTTTCCCATAACTTTGTATTTTATCGCTCTGCTTAACCCTTGGGGTCCATTTTATTTTGGTATACCTTTTCTAGGTACGTTAGCCTGTGACCACGGAAATTGACCGAGTCAAGTGCTGGATTAGTACGGAGAGATTGAGACAGAAGGAGGTACTGGATAGAGAGACCGGGATGGTTTTTAATGTGAAGACAACAACAACAACAACAACAACATAACAGCGGTACTCAAATCTTCCTCTGACATATATTCGCACTCAAATGTTTGGAAACATTTGAAGGTTTTTTTCAAAGATTTGGTGACTGCGGGCACTATCTGCATTTATTTGTACGCGAAGGGAAGGGGGGTGGCGGGTATCGTGAGACACAGACCTTCTTTCGAAGACCGTTCATTTGTTCACCACTCATGAAACTCCACAGAGCCGTAAATAGAGTCAAGCCGCGGGGGGAGGTTCAGGGAACTCTTCGCGATATATATGTGGAAGGAAAAGCCATCCAGGTAGCTTTTGGTTTCCGCCGGGGCAGTGATATGTACTGGTGGTGTTCCTCGGTGCGACGACGCTGGAATAATATAAAAAACTTGACGTTCTTGACATATTTTTTTTTTTTGCCTCCTGCTTCATTCAATGTATTGGTTAATTTTTTACATTTTTTCCGTGCTTCTCCAAGGCCTGCGCAAACCTAAACCTTGCTTGTTCGCGCATGGATGTCATGAGTACTTGTGCGTGACGTACACGTGTGCACAAGAGGGCCATCTCCAAACCTAAGTCCGGCTGGGCTGGGTTTGCGGCTCAACTTTACTGGCTTGACCGTGGTGTGGGAAACCCACCACTTTTCGGGCTTTTCGGGCGGGATTTCGCCAACCTACTGACGGTGATATACGGAGCCTCCTGGGTGTGGCTGCTGCGTCGCGCCCAGACATTCATTCACCTCTTTTTCCCCTCTCACGTATGCCGCGGCGGTGGCGAGAGGGAAAAAAAGTCCAGGGGACAGGTGAGAGAGAGAGAAGTAGAGAGACGTTAGTATGGCCACAGCACCCGAGCAAGGTTAGGTAAGCAAGACAGCGACGAATTTATGTTTTTCAGCAGCAAGGTGGAGACTCGCACTGCTGTTGGTTACCCACAGCAGCAGCAGTCAACACGTTTTTTGTTGTTGCCTACCATACTGGGAGCGTCGAACCACCTCGGTTCCCAGTCGTTGACCCCGTAACTGACCGGCCAGCGAAATGGTTCCCCACCCTCTGTCCTGTGTCACCATCGTGTCCCTCGCCCCTACTAGCCACCGCGTCAATCGCCGTCCCCTTGTTGCATAAATCGGACGCAAAGACAGAGGGCGGTGAATCTGAAATCACAGAAAACAGATTCTCGGCTGCCGTGTGGTACTGCATGCTGAGGCCGACACGGCTAGCAACGGCGGCGGCGGTGGGACACCAGCAGAGCAACATACGCTGCTGTCGCGGTGGGACGCGATGGCGGCGAGGAACACGCCGGTGCGGGATGAGCTGGTGCTGAGCCTGGACGACATCCTCCCGGTTCTCAAGAACGGGGACGGGATTCCGGTCGTGAAGCACAGCAACCGCGGTCAGAGCGACCAGCGGCGGCTCCGCCTAGACACGGATGATTCAACCCTTGAGGTCTTCCGCCAGAGCACGAACGCGTACTACTTCAACCGGAAGACTCGGGCGTACAACCTGAGGAACCTGGAAGAGGCGCGTGAGAGGATTATGTAGCTGCTGCACTACAACACGCTTGTTTTTTGCTTGACAACTGCTGTCTAGCGAGTCGTGGCACTCCAGTCCCATGTTTGCATACAATATTTATTGTGGATTGCCTCGCGGCTTGACCGTGAGTTTTTGGCTTGAAATCGGCCGAGAAATCTTCGTCCCGCCTCTCTGCTGCTGCCGGTCTTCTTTCCTTCCGTCACAAAGGGTTCAACACAACGCTGGTTGGTGCCTTTAGGCTGCACACACCCCTCTTGTGTGTGTGTACTTATTTGGTTTTCGTGTCATAGTAGTATACACGAAAATGCGTTGCGAGTCCGTCGAACTGTCAATGAGAGCGGTGGTGCCTCTGAGTGCCTCCATATATGCACATCCGCAGCAGTGTAGCACTCATGAGTAGAAAGAGAGTACCTGTACTGCTGCAGTGGGCTACGGCAGCCGGTCGCGAGGGGTACACCACATTGGGCCTGGCGTGTGTTTGTGTGTGTGCATCCACGTACAGCAGTACTTGGCAGCACTAACACCCACACAAGCTAACGAAACTGCGGCAAAACTGCATCCTGTTTGCCAATTGTTGTGCATTCTGCACGCATGCATACTGCACACGTTGAGTGTTCAGATCAGTGGAGCTCCTCCTCCTCCTCCTCCTCCTCCTCCTCCTTCTCCTCCTGGTGCCTCTCTACCTCGAAACACCTTGGGTGCACTTCCCATGAACCTAACGCTCAGCCCCACTACCTATTGCACGGTCCACGCCCCCTCATCCTCCCTTCAGGTGGGGCCCGCAACGAGTGTCCCTGGGGCCCAAGGAGGCAGGGCCGCGAGTCCTGGGCGGACCCTAGTCTTCGTGTTCAGCAACCGAACCCTCTACGTGACCGTCGAAACCCGTGAAGTGTGCGCCGCCCTCGTGGCGCTCTTCCGGCCGGCTGGCTCCGCGCTCCCGAACGGTTCGAGGGGCGGGCAGCAACAGCATCAGGGGGGAGCGGTCACCGCTGCGCAGGTGGGCGGCGAGGACAGGGACACGGCCTCCTCCGCCTCCGCTACCGCCGCCGCCGATCTGGCCGTGAGAAACAGGTTTCACTTGTCGCCTGGCGGCGACGGACCGTCGATGTGGGGCGGGGGTCGCGCTGGAGCCGGAGCGAGGGCGGGGGCGAGGCCGAGGCGGGCCTCCGAGAACGCTGCGTCGGCGCGGAGAGCTCTGGAGCACCACTCCAGGAGTGCCCGCAGTGTCTCCGGGACGGGGGATGCCAGGAACACGAATGGCCACCCGAGCAACATGAGGAGGAGCAGAGGCGTGGTGCGGGGAGAGACCGGGGGATCGAACGGGATTAGAGGGAGGACCGGCAGGCGCAGCGAGGGCGTGCTGATGCGATCGGTGAGCGACACCCTGGGGGCCGAGCTGCTTGACGTGGACGGGGTGTCGACGTCCTCGAGCGACGAGGAGCGGGACGGGCCGGCGGCCCTGGCGAGGACGCCGGTCGGGTCGTCCTTCGACGGGTCGCAGCAGCGGTCGCCGAAGAGCACGTCCGAGTCCCCTGACGCGATCGTGAGGTCGAGGATGGTGGGCTTCGGCTCAACCGACGTCCGCAAGTCGAAGCGCGCCGGCAAGGGGTCTTCGATTATCCCCACTTGGGCCCGGTTCTCGGATTCCAGCGAGAGGAGGGGCCCGTCCCCCGCCGCCGCCCCCGCCGCCGCCGCCGCCACGCCGGTGTCGGCGTCGGCGCTGAAGCCCGCTTCCCGCCTCAAGAACACCGGGCTCGCGATCGAGGGCAAGGCTAACGTGAAAGAGGACGCGGGGGAGGCAGTCTCGGCGGAGGGGTTGCGGCACAAGAGCAGCTCGAGCGATCCGTCCACCACGACCTCCACGACGCTGTATGGCGGTGGTCACGGTTCCCCGAGCGGCCCGCTAGCTGTTCGCAAGGAGGACCGGCTCACCGCGGAGTCTCTCCGTCGCCCGGCCAGCGCTCCCGGCGGGGTCTTGGCCACCGACGCGAAGGAGTCGCCGCTGGCTTTCCAGGACCCGGCGCCCGCTCAGCCCAGCAGAGCCAGTAGTAAGTCTAGGCCGTTGAACTCATCCCCACCGGAAAGACATGAGAGGGCGAGCCCGCCACTCGGACGAGGCCGGGTTAACGCCCCCCAGCTCCTGCCGCCGGCCGGCGCCGGCACCGGCACCGGCGGCGGCGGCGGCGGTGGCAGCGGCAGTGGCGGCGCGCTGCAAAACGAAGCTTGCGCGTTTTCGCGCCGGCCGGAGCTCTCGCCGACGGTCGCGCGCAACAGCAACACGACCGCCCCCGCCACCCCCGCCGCGGTCCTATCGCCCCCGCCGCCGCCGGCGCCGGAGCTGGCGCCGGCGCCGGCGCCTAAACCGAAGGGGGCCGTCCCCACCTTTGAACCTCGTATAGTCGACAAGCGAAAGATACCACCTTTGGCAAGACCTCTAGCGACGGACCCGCCGCTATTGCAGCGGCAGCAGCAGCAGCAGCACGGAACCCCGGATGCAGCCGCGGTCGCGCAGAAGCGGTTCGAGGCCATATATCGCGACAGCAGCTACGACAGCAGCGAGTCCCCGCCTCTTTCAACGTCCGGGCGAGAGGTGTTGGCGGTGCCGAGGAGGGCGGAAGCGGCGCCTAGGAACGGGGGGGCGCGCGGGGCAGGGGCGGGGGCGTTGGAACGAAGAGGGGTCCCGGCGAAGCAAAGGTTCAGCAGGAGTTCTTCGGTGGACAGCCTTGAGGTTGACGAGTCGTACCACCCCCGCCACCCCCGCCACACTGACAGGCCCATGTACGTAAGGAGCTCTACGAGCTTTTCGGAAGAGGACGTTGTTGCGGGGGTGGGCGGGCGGAGGAGCAGCGCGGGCGCACCGGCGCACCCGGGCCCGTCGGCCTCGCGAGGTGTGCAAGAGGGGCAGTCGGCCGTCAATAAGGCTGGGAGGGGAACGCAGGAGCAAGAGACGGTGGCCGGCAGACGTCCCCGGCAAGCGGAAGAAGACGCCGCCGTTGGTGTCGCCACGCTTGTCTCGAGGCGGAGCCCCGAGACCGTCGCCACCCCGTCGCACACCTCCAGCAGCTTGCCCCTCTTAGACGAGAGACACCCTTCCGTGGTCATCAAAGACATGGGAGGGGGCACGGGCGGCGTGGCGGGCGAGAGGGCCTCGGGGGGCATGATGACGACCGTCGACAGGCTGGAGTCGTTCGGCACTTCGAGGACCGACTCCTTCGGCCCTCCGAACTCGGACAAGTCGGTCGGCAAGCTCACCATCCAGCCCGCCCTGTCTCCCGACGTGTACGCCGCGCCGTCGGAGGCGGGGACCACAATGACGTGCGACAGCGGCAGCCTGCCCTTCGCGCCCACGCCGGCCGCGGTGGCGGCGGCCACGGCGGCGCCGGGGGCGTTCAACGGCAGCAGGGGCAGCCGGGGGAGCATGGTCAGCTACGGCAGCAGAGGCAGCGAGGGCACGGATTGCACGTCTCCGGGCTCGCCGCCCGGCGGGGCTGTGGGAGAGGCCAGGGCGTCGATCTACCTGCCCACCGCCGGGGTGAGGGCGATCCCGGCGATGTCCGGCCTGCACCTGAGCGGCGGGGCCCCGCGAGACGAAGCGGCCCAAGGGCCCTCGGGCTTCGAGGAGCTGTGGGCGGTGCTGGAGCCAACGTGGGATATCAACTCCTCCTTCGGGGCGTCGAATGCGCCGAAGGCCATGCTCCTCGGCGGCGTCTACGAGAAGCTGCGCAGCTTCCAGGCGGCGGTGTCGAGCGTGTGCGTCCGCGCGTGCGGGCCGGTGCTGGGCGAGGTCTGCAGGAGGTGCGCGCGGGCGTGGGCGGTGCTGATCTCGAGTTCGGTGCAGGACATCGTGAAGTGCACGGACCTGGTCCGGATAGAGTCGAGCGTCCTGCAGCTCATCGACGTCGTGGAGCGCTACAGGGCCAGCGCGGTCGTGCGGCGCTTCACCCTGCCCCTCATCGGGGAGGAGACCGCGTGGACAGAGATCTTCGCGGGCGGGGAAGGGGGCGACCTGCAGGAGCCCTGCGCGAGGATAGAGAAGGCCATCGTCGAGCTCTCGGAGAAGGAAGGCGAGGGAGGCAAGCGCAGCGGTAGCGGCGCCGGCGCCGGCGCCGGTGGGTCAGCAGGAGGAGGCAGTGGCTCCAGCAGGCCCGGGCTGCGGGGAAGCTTCTCGATGGACCTGAAGCTGCCGCCCTGTCCGTCCTACTGGGCGAAGGGGCAGTTTGACCAGCTCACCCCGAACCGTCTCGCCGACGTCGTGACGCTGCTCCATGAGCCCGCCCGGTTCGCGGAGCTGGCGGAGCTCGTGACCCACGCGAGCGACGTGGGCCCGGCGAGCCGCGACTACAGCGCGGCCTGGAACTGCGTGCGCAGGGCGGAGGGCCCGGCGCTCGGCCGGGAGCTGAGGCGGGCTCTTTCGGCGACGCTCGTGGCAGCGGGCGAGCTCCCCCTGCCGCGGGTACCCCCACCCCCGCCGGCGTACGTGCCCAGGAAGAAGCTCACGGAGCAGATAGAGGCGACCATCCTGCACCCTTTCCTTCCGCTGGGGATCGCGGGGATCGGCGGGCCCAGCGGGTCGGGCAAGACCGTCCTCGCCGCGGCGGTCGTCCGGGACGCCACAGTGCGCCGACGGTTCGGGGACCGAGTCTTCTGGCTGCACGCGGGGAAGGGGGCGGACCACCGCCTGGTCTCGGTCCTGCAGAGCCTCGCCGACACGGTGTACGCGTGGCTGACGGACGGCGAGCATGCTGGGGTGGCATCGTCGTCCGCGTTGCCAAGACGCAGCGTGGGCAGCGGCGGCGGGGGCGGTGACGCGGGCGCCGCGCTGGCGGACCCGAACCTGCGAGAACCGGTGCGTTTCCGGGACCAGGACCAGGCGGTGAACTACGTGGCGGACCTGTGCCGGGGGCCGCTGCTGGCCGGTTTCCGCTGCCTGGTGGTGGTGGACGACGTGCACGAGAGGGAGGTGGTGGACGCCCTGTGGAAGTCGGGCTGCCAGCTGCTCGTCACCAGCCCGGTGAAGGGCCTGCTGCAGGCGGTGGGGGCGGAGGCGACGGTGGCGCGGCCGCTGGGCATGGAGGTCGCCAGGCAGCTGGCGACGAGGGCGGCGGGCGAAGTGGCGCTGTGCGAGGAGGGGGGGCGGCTGGTGGACCTGTGCCGCGGGTGCCCGCTGGCGCTGGCCATGTCAGGCGCGATCACGCAGGCGGTGTTTAGCGGCGGGAGCGATGCTCGAGAGTACCGGAATCCCGGGCTGGCCACGCCCAGGTCAACAATCGGCGAGGATACGGCAGCGGGCGGTGGCGGTGGCGGTAGAGGTAAAGAAGAAGAACCGAGCACTTGGTCGTTTAGCACTCTGGCCGCTCCCGTCGGAGCCTGGGTGGAGCAGGTGGTGGTGGGCACCTCCGGTTCGCCGCCGACCAATCGGCAACGCCAAGGCGGCGATGCTCCGTCGTCCAAAGATAAGCGGAGACCGGCGGCAACAGGCCCCGAGGAAGACGTCCGTGGAGTAGCATGTGCGGGCGGTGATGGTGCGGTGGCGGCGGCGGCGGCGGCGGCGGCGGCGACCGTTCCGGGTCACGAGCTAGGCCCGGAGGCGACGGCGTGGGCGAACCTTGCCCGAAGGGTTGACGCCGCGCTTGCGAGGCTGGGTCAGAGTCGAAGCGCGCTGTGTGGTTTGCTCGCCGAGGCGGGTCCCGAGCAGGAGTTGCCAGTGCGTCAGCTGGTGGCGGTGCTGACAGAGGTGATGAAGGCGTTTTTTTTTTCTTTTTTTCGGCGTTGGTACTGCTGTGGCCGTTTCACACGATGCACCCCGAAGTTGGACGAACGTAGCGGATGTGGGGATGCACAAGAGTAATAACACCGAGGACTTTTTGTTCTCGTCGAGTGAGCAACGTGAGGAGAATGCCGAACAAACGAAAGGTGTTCTTGTTGCACTCTTCTGTTTGTGTCCTGCCCCTTGAGCGTGCCTTTCACAGGTCTGTACCGTTGTCTTCCCTCACGTTGCCCAGTCTATACTCGGGAGCCTCGGGGGAGGGGTAGTGACGTTGTACACTGTGTTGTATGTTTCTATACGTTTCTTGCCGCATTTGCAGTGCTCTCATCGGACGTTTCGCCCTAGAAGTATTTGCGTTACTGCCAGCCTAGTTATGTGGGTGCCGCTAAACGTTCTACTTTGCTCAGAGAGCCTATCGCCCCCTTCGCCAAAGTTTGATTTTTGTTCTCGAGGTCATTCAACGGCCTGGTTATTTTTTTATCATGGGCATGTCCACCCAAGTACAGGAGGAGCGCGGCAGTGCCGCCAAGTTCGTATTTAGTACCTGAGTCCGATCTGTGCGTCCTCTGTGGGGAATAAGCATATGGAAAGTATGGTATGGTTGTGGTCGTGATGTATGCGGTTGGGGTCCAAGTGCGCCTTCCCCCCCCCCCGGAGAGCACATGCCAGTGTGCTCCTGTCACTTGCCTGTGGGGTGAGCATCCTTGTTCTATGGAATAAACGTGATGGCTACGCGCGTTCTCAACACCAACCGCTGAGGGCGTCAGCGCCACGAATACGATGAGCTAGGCGATAACGATACATCCATCGTGTTCGTGGCGCTGCCGCCCTCAGCGGTTGGTGTTGACTACTGGGGGCTGCATTATCCCAGGAACGCGCGTTGTCATCATGTATGTATATTGCACAGGCCAATGATCGCTCACCCCACTAGACCAGTGGCCGGAGCACACCGGCACGTGCTCTCACCCCGCGCTTGGACCCCAACCGCATACATACCCATCACACACATATTTCCTACGCGTATCCCCCACAGAGGACGCACAGATGGGACTCATATCTAAGTACCACAGTCAATGGTAGACTGACCATAAAGAAAAACACTACTTGAGAAAACTTATTTCAGCAAAACTGGCAACGCATTCAACTCAACGCGTCCCCATCAGTTTGTTCACGAATCCAACGCATTGGTCTTTCTGGAAATTATCCCAAACCGTCAACACAATAGAATCATACTCAGAGAAGTACCCAAGAAGTACCTGTGTGCTACGTCAGAAAGGCGTCGGAACGAAAACAGACATTACCGTAAAAACAATGTTAAGGAGTTGACACATCTTCGAACAATGTTTCAACTTCTTGACCAATCATAACGGGCATTCGGAAAGTACTGGGACCCCAACCATCACTCGTCAAAACATGTCAAATCCTTCCTCCAACATAGTGTTCAAGGACCAAATCCTAAACAGCGCAAACCTGCGAATTCGCTGTTGCACAAGAAACTGTAGAAAACATAGGCAAACATCCATGCGAACAGCCCCCTTGCTGTCACATCCCAAACATCACCCCGAGCTAATATCTCGATGCCAACAGCCCCCCTGCTTCGACGTTTTCCTAAGACACAAAGATAGGCAAGACCAGAAAACAAAACATTTTCGGCCCATCATGCCCTCTAGAATCATGGTCATTCACGACATCCCCCCCCATGATTCCCGATGCAACAGCAGCAATGTATACGAAGAAGAAAAACCATTGCAATAATTTCAACAACCGCTGCTAGGAAGGCGAAGAAACGAAGAACATGAACACGTAACACACATGGCATCAACCTCCAGGAAAATTTCGTATCGAATGTAAACTGTCTCCCGAACTGGCACTCCGGAAGCTTCCCTGCTCCCTATGCGGTATGCCTTCATGAATGTCAAACAACGCGCTATGATCCTGCTATTCTCGGTTGTTGATGTGCTTCTTTCCTCGAGTCACTGTCGTGTGCCGCCTTTGTGTGTCACGGTGGGAGTCTTCCCCGATCACGCCACCCAGCAGCTTGAGCAACATCGCGCGCATCAATGCATACATGACCCCCCCCCCCCC